CCCCCCCTTCTTCAGGGCTCCTGAATCTTTCTGCAGCCTTTCTACTATTACATCTTGGCTGCTTCTTAGTGCTGTCTTTCAGCCACATCCCCTCCCCCTAATCTGAGGGTAAGTAAGGTCTAACACCTAGCCTTCTCGGATAAGGGTGAAAAAATCTCCAACGTCCCGTGTGCAAGTTGCGCACGTTAAAGATCCCTTGGTGGTCCTTAAATCGATAAAAACATACTTCGGTCGCCACCCGGACAAAATTCAAAATTAATTCCTACCATACAGAAAATGCTTATTAATGTGTCCCGCAAGCTCACATGACATTATGCTGTTGCGAGCGCAGTAAAACACTTACACAAAAAAATAATAATAACAACAACAAACTAACTCAACATTACAGATTAAATAACACCCAGTAGGCACGCTCTGCACTGTACGGCAGAAAGTACCTGGGATCCCCGACTGTTATCAACGTTCAAAATAAATTCAGTGTTCCACTTTCGCTTTGTGGTGGTGAATCTAAGGTCCCTCTTTCAACCAACAGCATAAAGCACCGTTCCTACAGCTATTTAAATTTGCGTTCTCTGTCCTGTGTGCTGAACTTTTAGCTGGTGGTTTGTAAGAAGTCCCGTTATAAATCAATTCAGTGTTCGGACGTATGAAAAGAAGGTATGGAGAGAGAGAGAGAGAGAGAGAGAGAGAGAGAGAGAGAGAGAGAGGGAGAGAGAGAGAGAGAGAGAGAGAGACGGGGTAAAGAAGGGGACAAATGATGTGCAGAGAAATAGGGATGAAATATGAATAGATCGATAGATAGAGAGCCGTGGTGTTACACACATAATAAAATGTTATTAATAATAAACAAGTTGAGTTGTAAAGTCTGGGACACCACACTATAAATCGACTTCCAGTGGTGCAAGTTTGATTGCGTGTTACATCTTATTTCGTCTCGTCTAGGAATATTGTTTCTTTCTTCGTGTCTTAGATATAGTAGGAGTAATACCTGAGCTATGTGTCCCTTAACAGGATGTGTGCCTTGAAACTCTTTCTGTGTTAACTCTCCGGTGGCACATTTTTCTTTTCAAAATAAAAAGAGTAACTAAAGTACGTAGTACATAAGAAAATCACAATGAAAAAGCAAATAGGCTGTTTTTGTTTAATGATACAGTTAAACGTGAGGGCAATGTGGTTGACCATTATAGTAAGCATAAGTACGGACGTAAACACACACACATACACACACACACATTCTCTCTCTCTCTCTCTCTCTCTCTCTCTCTCTCTCTCTCACACACACACACACACACACACACACACACACACACACACACACACACAGCAAACAATTGACGTACTTTAGCGAACCACCACTACGCAATGCACAGGGCCAATACTCAGTGTAGAAAAATAATTTCAAACTAGAAATTAAAAAAAACCCACATGATTATTAGGCTGGGTCGGGTGCTGTAAATAGAGGGGTAAGAAGATGAGGAGAAAAAAAGAATATTGTACAATCCAACAATTAAGGCGTGCAGACTTCTCCTCAAGGGTACTTCAACAAGGTAGACGTGTGTGGAACATTTGTAAACAGCTTAGTAAACATAATCAGAATTGTGTTGATGTGGGCATAAAACATTTGCAATACAGCAATGAGACTGAAAATGGATTTTAAAGTGCTGTTAATGTCTTCTGTTTAAGCTCGAGGCGAATACAGTTCCAAGTTTTGGACAATAACAACCACGTAAGCCCGAATATAGAGTTAGACAGCCAAATCGATGTTACAACTAGTGTTAAGTGCAATGTATGCACAGGTACGAAATGTAAGGAAAATACTCAGACACAGAGAAAATCTTCACCGATGGTACTTTATGGGACTCAGCTGTAGGCATCGCTAGCCTATCAACTAACAGCACCCAACAGAAGAGGATCCATTCCGAGGCCTCAATTTTGTTTTTCCTGGAGAAATTCCCCCAAATCATCTATTCTCATTCTTTCCGACTCTTTACCTTACCTTATTCTAGGATCTAGCAATATTTCCTTCCATTCTTAAGATGAAAAGGTAGAAATATTTTTAATAAGAGAATGATCAATTCCATAGACACGGTTTTTATTATTGCTACCTATCCTAACAAGGACAGTGTACAGCCTAGCTATTGGCATGTCATCTCTGTTTCTGTTGTTCACAGCGCAGCGGGATTTGGACTTCCCAGAAAGCCATTCGGTGACCTGTATACTCGCGTGACCTGATGAAGACAACACTCCAACAAGCCTACGACTGCGTTATTACTTCCCTTTTCTAAGCAATGACGCGCCGTGATGGCGACAACGTCCCGAAGGAATGTCGTTGAGAAATTGTTGAATAATACAGCAGATGTTAAAGAGGACCAGCGTGGAAATGAGTTTGTTTGCAATGACGAAGGGTGTGCCAATATTGGCACTGTTAGTAAAACAGACACACTGAACGTGTTTCTCAATGACCATAATATTTTGCTTGAAGGTGGGCAGGAAGGCTCAG